ACAGCAATAGCTAACGTAGTACTAACACTTTCTGTAAGTCAGGGACTGCTCTAAGTGCTCTATGTGAATTAGCTCATTTTACTTTTACAACAACCCTATGATGTAGGTAGTATCTCCAATTTACAGACAGGGAAAACAGAGTGGCAAGTATGGCAGAATGGTTAAAACCATGGACTGTATAATCTAAGTGTTGAAATTTGAAACCTGGCTCTCCTACTTCATAGCTGCGTGACCTTGAGCAAGTTACTTAAACTTTGTGTGGCTGTTTCCTCATTTCTAAATGGAGGTAACTGTAGTATTTAAGTCTACAATGTGTTACTACCACTAAGGTTCTACCTAACTTTTCACACCTAGGCTTTGCACCCATGCAGTCTGGAGTGTCCACTGATAACTTTACTAATAAGCAATCCATCACCTGAAGAAATAGTTTAAAATCTTGGTCCCCCCACCTCCAAAATTTCAGAGTTCTTCCCTTCTTAAAAGAAAATTATTTAGACTATTAATGCTTACATAGCATTTAGCCACAACTTGTCAGATGTAAAGTCAATCATGATGATATTCTAGTTGACTTTTATCTTTAAAAATTTTTAACATTTGAAACCTTATTTTGAAGTTTGTAGTGAAAAGGTTTTCCTGCTTATCTATCCTGCATTTAGACAACACCCCAGCAAGGAAGCACCATGAAATAAATGTTTAATTGCTTCTATTCTAGTAGCCAAGTCTGAAGACAGCTTAGTTAGCTAAGACTGCTGCTGTACAGTAGGACCAGAGAACCCAGCTGTCCATTTACAGCTTGGGGACTGATGCCAGAAGCAGAGCAGCAGGGAAATACTGGAAATCTAGGCAGCTTGGTTGAGTGCAGATCACTTTACTTGGGGCAAACTTTCGGTTGAACCATACCCTCATTTTACGGATCAAAGCACAGAGGTGCCTGGGTGGCACAGTCGGTTAAGCGTCGACTCTTCATTTCGGCTCAGGTCATGATCTCAGGGTCCTGGGATCAAGCCCCGTGTCTGGCTCCATGCTCAGCGCGGAGTCTGCTTGTCCCTCTCCCTCTGCTCATTCCCCTCCACCCTTCCGCCTGCTCGTGCTCTCTCAAATAAATCTAAAAAACAAAACAAACTCTTCTTTAATTTTTATTTTAAAAAAATTTTTAAAAAGATTTTATTTATTTATTTGAGAGAGAGACAGAGAGAAAAGGGAACACAAGCAAAGGGAGTGTGAGAGGGGAAGCAGGCTTCCCGCTGAGCAGGGAGCCCGATGCGGGCGGGGTTCGATCCCAGGATCCTGGGATCATGACCTGAGCGGAAGGCAGCCGCTTTAACGACTGAGCCACCCAGGCGCCCCGAACAAAACAAATTCTTGAATTAAAGCACAAAACCACAATCCAAGGCAGGTATTCTGGAGCTTAATCATGACTTGGCTCCCCTTTCTGCATTAGTTTCTAGCTGCTGTGACAAATTACCACAAACTTCGTAGCATAAAACAACACAAGTTTGTCACCTCAGAGTTCTGTGGTTTAGAAGTCCAAAATCAAAGGGTATATGTCCAGTTGTGTTCTGCTGGATGCTCCGGTAGAGAACCTGGTTTTTTGACTTTTGCAGTTTTTAGAGGCTGCTCTTTCATCTCCAGCGCCTGCAACAGCTGGCCAAGCCCTTGTCCTGCGGCAGCACTCAGACATTGACTGTTCTGCTCCCTCTTCCATCTTTTCACAACTCTTGGACTTACAGTGGGCCTACCACATAATCCAGGATAATCTCCCTATTTTAAGGTTAGCTGATTAGCAAACCTAATTCCATCTGCGTCCTTAATTCCCTCTTGCCATGTAACATATGCACAGGACCCAGGGACTGGGCCATGGGCATCTTTGGGGGACCATTATTCTGCCTTCCATACCTTCCTTGGTTCAAGTAACTCAGGTTTCATTCATTCAATAAGGTCATCTTACTGAGTACTTAATATAGTTTAGTAGACACTGGAGCTTATACAAAAGAACAGGGTACTATCTTGTCTATACTTAGGTGACAATTCATGAAAGCAAGATGAAGGCAGAAACCATAAGTAAGCACCCTTCTTTGTATACGGGTGCAGTGGAATCCATTGTCTTTTCTTCGTAGCATATATACTTATGTTGGTGATGAACAAATTTTTACTACGAAAACAATGTGGTATCGTGAAAAAGATTTTCAGGACAGGCACAGTTAAAGATTTTATTTGAGAGAGAGCACAAGCATGAGTGGGGGAGGGGCAGAGGGACAAGCAGACTCCCTCCTGAGCAGGGCTCAATCCCAGGACCCTGAGATCATGACCTGAGCAGAAGTCAGACGCTTAACGGACTGAGCCACCCAGGCACCCCAGGCAAAGTGAAATCTCAAGATAAAGTTACTGGACTTCTCTGAGCCTCAGGCTGATGATATACCTCAAAGCGTTATTAAAGCAGGAACACACGCTCTACCGATATGGCATTCCACAAATGTTTCTCTTTCCCTTCTCGGATTTTAAGTATCTAACATTCTTTTAACATTTCCACTACTTACGTCGCACCAGAGTTATAAAAGAATACACGAGAAGTGTTAGACCTAGTGCCTGCCATCAAATTAAAAACGTTGGTAGGGTAACACATTTGCATGTACGACACAATGAAAGAAAGATCAAAGTAAACCTAGACAGGCTCCATAAAAGAGCTGAGACTTAATACATGGTTAGGACAAGCAAACATATAGTGAGGTCATTAAAGCTGACTTCCTCTTTACCTTAAAAAATACAAAGCAAACAAACAAAACCTGATCCATACATTGAAATGTGGAAAAGGGGGTATGTCTACTTGAACTTTAGAGCTTGAATAGGGTTTTGAGCTCAATCTAGCAGAGTGATTTTCAAACTGTTTCCTGGATCCCTACAAGTCCACAGAAGTGAAGGAAAGGGAACCCAAGGAGATCCCTCCGGGAATGTATCCTGGCTTACCCTTTGGATGAAACTAAAAACTGGATTAGGCAGACTTCGGGTTCCGACAGTTCATAGTTCTCCTGAACTCCCTCATCAAGAAAAAGTAGGTGTTGGGGCCAAACGTTGAGAAAGCAGCATCAGCAGCTGCAGAAATCTGCCAGGTCTCGGTTCGCACGGCTTTGTGAACCGTTCGGAGAGCCGGACACACACGACCAACTGCACCCACAAACCTGACCTGCACCAGGTCCGTGAACGGGAACGCGCTCTGCTTGGCGTGTAGTATCTCACCAACACTGAAGGCCGATTTGGACTCAACTAATTTTTACGTCCACTTTTTCGGGTTTTTTTGTTTGTTTGTTTGTTTTTTCGGTAAATAACGAAGAAAACCAACTTTCTGAAGGACACGCAAGAACGGGAAGACCGGGCCCAGCACTGAACTAGAAATACGTGGTTTCTCTACCCTCTGCCTTCCAGCCGCCTGGTGAGGGTGAGGATGTATCACCCAGCCAAGCGCAAGGCGTCAAGGTGCTCACACGCATCGCGCGGGACGCAGCGGCGGGAAACCCCAGCAGTCCAGGCTGCGCTCTACAACACAAAGGAAGAAAGGCGACCAGCGCGCGGGTTCCCCGGCGGGTCCAAGTCCGCCCCACGGAGCCCCGAAGGAAGCCCCCAGGACGGCCGCCGGGCCCGCGGCCCCACCCCCTACCTCGCGGGGGCTCGGATCCTGCACCCTTCCCTCGGGGGCGCGGCCCCGGCGCCGCTCCTGCCCCGGCGACCGGCGCGGCGGGGCTTCCAGGGCCGCGAGCAGCACGCAGCGCCGACGGCCGGCCGCTCTCCGCGCTTCCCGCAGAAGACAGGCGAGCTCGGGCCGTTCGGCAGGAAGCTGCTCACCGCGCAGCCGCCGCGGCCTCCAAACGCCGGCCAGCGGAGGGGAGCCAGGCCGCCCTCGAGGCGCCCACCGCGGCCCCGCGGCGGAGCGCGGAAGGCAGCCTCGGCGGCGCGGCGCGGCGGCCGGGGAGGTGAGTCGGCCCGGGCCTCTGCCCGCCCCGCGCGTGGCTCCAGCCCTCGCGACGGCCCCGCCGCGGCGCCGGCCGTCCCCCCTCCCGCTCCTGCGGCCGCGGGGATGGAACGGTCCGGCGGGGGGGATTGTGGGAGGCGCACGCGCGAGGGGCGGAGGGCATGTGGGGGGGCGGCGGCGGCGGCGGCGGCGGCGGCGGCGGCGGCGGCCGTGGCGGCGGTTGGTGGCCGTGGGGGCGGGGAGGGGGGGAGGAAAGAAGAGGCGGCGGCGGAGGAGGAGGCGGAGGCCGGGGCTCGCGCCGCCGAAGGTACGCGTGAGGGCCCGCGCCGCCCGTCCTGACAGGGGCCGAGGGGGGGCGGGGGGCCGCGCGAGCGAGCGCCGACGGG